TAGAAATGAGTGTCATCAGGGCAGGGACCCAAGTCCGGCTGTTCACCTCCCCGTCAGCGCCGGCCCGTGAGAGGCGCTCAGCGGGCACAGGTGAGCGTGGGCAGGAACCGCGGTCACGCTCACCCCGTGCAGGGAGGGTCAGAATGGCTGCATTTCGCTTTTTTCTGAAGCCGGTACAAGTGAGATGCTTCCTCCTGGAGAGTCCTAATTTTCAGATCCTATATTTGCTACTCAGTTCAGAAAAGAAGGGGAATCTATGTAGCTCTAGGCTTTGTTTCCTGCTTTAAAATAGCAATTCTGAAGGACAAATTCTTAAATGTACATTCATTTTCGTTTATTCGGACATCCCCTTTTATAATTGGATCAGGGCAAAGACAGTTGACAGAACATTAACATATATAACATGACTCGATACATAGCATTTATTGAGCACTCGCTGTGTGGGACATCGCGGCAGGGTTACGGACTGCTCCTCCCTTCACCCTCACGGCCTCAGGGGTGGGTGGGTACCGTTACTCTCTCCACTTAATAAGCGGGGAAGCCGGCTGCGGAGAGATGGCGACTGCTTCTCCCAGGACACAGCTAGGAAGTGTGAGGACCGGGTTCTGACTCAGACGCTGGTCCCCAAGCAGCGTTCTCACTACAGGCTGCCTTGTGCCCAGAGTGGATGTCAGGACCCCAGCCAGACGTCCACCTGCATCTGCCTCCGTCAGAGCACGTGCCTGCTCCTGCGTCTTCGTCACCCATCATTGTCAGGCCATTTTTATATAACTGTTTGGGTATATATTTGCTCTCTTTGGAAATTACAAGAAAGTGCAAAAATCTATAACTCAGCCATCTAGAAATTACCAGGCGTATGACTTTGAGAAACTGCATATACAGGTTATTTTTTACCTAACATGCTATAAAGGAACCTTGTTTCCACGTCGGTCATTTTTGTACACCCCATTTTTTGTTGTTACCCATAGTGTGTTTTATGCGCATGTGTTATTCCCTGAGTCCTTTTGGCTTGGACATCTGTACCGTGTCTAGGTTTGCGATTATCAGTGGAGCCGAGGTAAATGTCTTTGAACCGGAACAGATTCCTAGTGGAATTAATGAGCTGAAAGGTAAGAAGAATATCAGGAGTGTTGCCAGCCAGTTGCCGGGCTGTTCCGGGTGATTTCATGGTGCACGGCCCCGGCCATGTGCCAAAGCACAGACCACATACTCTCAGACACAGGGTGGCCCAAAGTAGGTTTACAGTTGAGAGTTTGAGAAGCACATTGTTCATTGTACTATTATTTATTAATTATTGTATCATTTTCCATACAAACACCTGTAAACCTACTTTGACCTCACCCTGTATATACCTAAATGCACTTTTATTTATACAAATCGTAAATTTTAATGTATAACCTTAAACACTTGAGTCGCGAAGTAGTCCACACCATAGTGAATGCTGAGCTGTGAACGGGCCCTTGGACTGGGCTGCAGGTCCTGCACCACAGAGAAGCAGAGTTCCCCCCTGCAAGGACCTTATCTTATTGGGTGGATGAAAAGGGTTGCTGGTGACACAGAGCAGTGGCATGCCACCCGCAGGAGTGCTCCTGCCAGGGAGGGGTTAGGTGCCACTTATCAGCTTCTGGAGCCTGTGCCTGGAGCTATCTGCCGGCAGGGCTGGCAGAGCTTGGGTGTGGCTGTGACTGCCTGGGTGTGGCCACTGGGAGGTGAGCTGCCTCCCTTCCCCGTGTGTGCACCTGGCCTGAACCCCGAAGGCCAGTCTCGAAGGTGTGGAAACAGATTCCCAGGAAAAAAGAATTCAGCTATTGATAAAAGGTTTTATCGCACCCTGAGGGAATTAAGCTGATTCATTCCCTAAAGAACTAGCCTTCGCCATTTTTCAGCCCCCATTGGATTTGTTTTCAGCAGCAGCAGGGCCAGAGCTTCCTGTGCCCTGACCTCCCTCCTCCGCCTCAAGTAGTCCAGACTTCCAGTTGCTTCCATTGTTTCAGTAGGTACATTGGGAGGGTGGGGGGG